ATAGCTTAAAGGAGTTAGTTTCTTCAGGATAAAATTTTGAAAACAGCTTTCTTACAAGTCTTTTTAAAGTCTTATCCTCTATTTCTGAGGTGTTTACCCTCTAAGGCTTCTCAGTTGTATGTAGTTTGTTGAAGTAGAACAAATAACAGAAGTTTTCGAGCCTAACAGATTTGTGTTTGAATCCCAAATTAACCAATTACTACTTGTGTGACCTATTAAACTAAGCTTCAGGAGGGCTGGGACAGGTGTCTTATTCAGCCTTAGATTCCCAGATGCCTCCCGCTCAACCCCCTGTAGGTAAGGCACATTTCTTCCATCAGCATAGGAATCCGATTACCTGGGAAAGGGAGCATTGTTAGTTTTCCTACAGTCAACTTCTATGGGGATTTGGGTTATTTAAAAATGAAAGGAGAAAAGTAAGGGCACTAAAAAAAAAAAAAAAAAAAAGGCAAAACCACCCCCAATGATGGAAGTATGTCAAAGAGGGCACTGGGAGACAAGAAAGAGCTGCCAATGGCCAAAGCTGGGGCAATTAGAGCATCAAAATATAGTATTAGATTATTAACCAAAGCATAAAATATTCATGTGTCTATACTGATAAAAAGTAGATGACTGAGTAAATACATACATGGGGGAAAGAGGCAAATCTCCCTTGCAGAAAACTTCCAAATACATTATGTAGATATTCCACCCACTAGGAGGTAGAGCATAACCCTCCAGTCTCTTACTGTGGGCAATGCACAAGGACTTCCTTCCAAAGAGAACCATATGAAGTGGGGGGAGGGGGAATAAGTTACCGTGGAGAAACCTGACAAAGGTTTCAGCCAGGTGTCAGGTAATCAATGTCAACATCAACAGTCATAAATCAGGTTGATAGTATGTACCCTTGATATGAGGTGATAAAAATGGGAGACATGACTACCCATGTAGTCATGGTGGGGGGGTGGAGGAGGGTGGATGGATATGGGAATTCCCTTCTACTATCTGCTCTGCTCCATTTTTCTGTAAAACTGTTCTGAAAATTCTATTTTATCAAAAAATTAAATGGGAGAAAAAGGGCCTAGTAGCCAAAAAGTAGAAACTCAAATGTCTATCAACTGATGAGCAGATGAACAAAATGTGGTATATAAATAGAATTTTATTCAGCAATAAAAAGAAACAAAATGCTGATACATGCAACAACATGGATGAACCTTGAAAACATTATGGTAGGTCAAACGAGTCCAAACAGGCAAATCTAGAGACAGAAAGTAGACAAGTATCTGCTGGGGAACAGGGGCAGAGGGAAATGGGGATTAACTGCTAATGGATACAGAGTTTGAGAGCTATGAAAATGTTCTGGAATTACTGATAGATAGTGGTACTGGTTGCCACTACCTGTGGATATACTAAAGCCATGAATTGTATACTTTAAAGGGTAAATTTTTTTGCTAATTATATCTAAATAATATTAATATACAAAATATATCAATGTAAAAATAAATAGCTGTATCAAGGAAAACTAAGTTGAGTTCTTTGGAGATACTCCATTATGGCAAGTAATTCCTTAAGGAAAAAAAAAGGGTGGGGGGACTCTTTCTGTCCCACCTGATTAATTCTTTAATGTTGTGTTACTTTTTGCTCATGAAACACTAAAACATTTAACATGGGGTCCGGTGCATAGTGGGCACTCAATAATATTTGGAGATTACTTCTTTCCTAACACTGAATAGGTTTTTTTTTTCCTGAACAAATCTATCGGGGGTCATAAATGCCATCCGTCCCACTTTGAAAAACCAACCTTTCTCAACTACTGTACAGTAGAGAGGATGTCTGATCTCTCTCCATTTCGCTCTGAAAGTTAAAGGCAATTCAGTTATCAACCAAGTTGATTCTAACTTTAAATAAGTTGATTCTAATATTAAGACTAATTCTGAGAAAAAAGTCTAGTTCTTCTTTCTCATCAAAGTAGGGCAAGTTGCTAGACATTCAAAGACAGAATTCACTTCTTTCAGTATCACCTCCACAATGTATGGCATTTCTAGAACTGGGAAAGTCCTTTCAAAGAAATCTTAAAATATAATTTTCCACCTACATTACTAATCCAAAGGAGACATTTATTCAATTTGTAGCAAGCAACCAAGCCCACAAATGTTTAAAAACGTTTTAGCTTTATTTTGTTGATAATTCCCTTCAAACTTCATAATCTATTAGGAATTAGAGACCCTTGCAATCCCTGGCCTTCCCTCACCCCCTGGGCTGACCCTTCCCACAGCTATCTTACACTCAGTACTAATGTTCTTGACCCTTTCACTAAAAGCTGGAAAAGCCTAGGAAAGAATCATGTAAGAAGCTGTGCAGAAGCTTGAATGTATTATCAAGTCTTGCTGGAAAAGGAGAATTTACATTTACTGAAACTCTATAGTCAGGTTACTTTAAATTTAATCCCTGAGAGATTTGCACCTGAACTTTATGAATAAGGAGGCAAAGGTTTAGAGAGACTTAGTAATTTATCCTATATATTACTCAGTAAACTATAAACTTACAGATGAACTATGCCTAAACCCTGATTATCATCATTACCATAATCATAATACCCTGAAAATTTTCTATGGTTAGCAGAATAATGGCCCATGTTATTTATTTGTTAGTGATTTCCATTATAAAAATAAAATCTTCTCTTGAGGATATCTATTGGAGGTTCCAAACCCCTCTGAAGTACAGGTTAAGCTGGTAATGTCTCTGATCACTGAAAAATACTTCATGTTGGGAAAAATAAGAATGAAGAACAGGGCAATGCATATTTAAAAGAACTTATAAATAACATAAAAATACAGTAAAAAAAAAAAATCTAAATTAAAACAGTGAGATGCCATTCCATCCAGAATGGCAAAGGTTAAAATGTGTTAGCTAGGTTTGGAAAAAAGGGTACTTTCATACACTCCTGTTTTACAGCAAGAAGGTACAGCCATTTGGGAAGGCAATTTATCAGTATCTGTTAAGAACTTTAAATGTGCATATCCTGGAAGCCAGTGATTCCACCCTTACATATCTCTTCCAGAGAAACATTCTCATATAAAAACAAAGAGGCGCACATAATGATGTTCACCGCAGCACTGTCTGCAATTTCAAAAACAGGAAACAACTAGTTCATCTGCCACGGTGATCACAACCACATCACTTGTCCAGCTCAAAGCCCTTCAGCCACTTCCCAGGGCTTTCAGAATAAACCAAATATTTTGCTCTGTCCTGTAAGCAAAAAGCCCGGCCCTGGCTCACAACTCCAATCCCACCTCCTACCCTGGCTTTCGAACCTTCCACCACACTTGCCTTCTTCCTGGTCTTCCAGCACACTATACGGGTTCCCACCTAAAGGCCCTCTCCACTGCTTGCTCCCTCTGTGTAGAATCTTCTCCCTGACTTTGCATCAATGACTCCTTTTAACTCTGTTCTCAACTTAAAAGCCACCTCTGGCAACCTGGATGAACCTTGAGGTTCATTATGCTAAGTGAAATAAGTTAGAGAAAGACAAATACTGTAGGATTTCACTCATCTGTGGAATATAAAAAACAAACGAACAAAACAAATAAATGAGCAAAACAAAACAAAACAAAACACATGGATACAGAGAGCAGAGCAATGGTTACCAGAGGGGAAGGGGAAGGAAACTAAACTGTATGGAGAAGGATGGAAACTAAATTTTTGGTGGTGAGCACACTGTAGTGTATACAGAAGTAAAAATATAATGTTGTACACATGAAACTTATACAATGTTAAAAGCTAACGTCACCTCAATAAGAAATAAAGTTTTTTAAAAAATGACAATTTTCACCAAATTGTACTATAGATTGAATTCAATTCAGTTAAAATCCTAGCAGCCTTTTTGAAGAAACTGACATGTTAATGATAAAATTTATATTGAAAACAAAAATACCTAAAATAGCTGTAACAACTCTGAAAAAGATAAACAAGATTGGAATATTTACACTACCTAATTTTAAAACTTACTCTAAGGCTAAAGTTATCAGGACAGTGTGGTAGTGCCATAAGGACAGACGAATGAAAATAATGTCCATGAAAACACACACACACACACACACGCCACGTGATTTTCAGCAAAGGTGCAAAAAGCTCATTCAAAGGGCAAAAGAGTTTTCAAGACATAACGATGGAACAATTAACTTGAAATGGATCATGATGCTAAATGTTAAGAGCTAAAATTATTAAGTTCCTAAAAGAAAACATAGGAAAGATCTTTGTGACATTGGGATTAGCAAAAAGTTCTAAAATAGCCCCAACCCACCAAAAACAAAAAAGCCACTTCTCCTCAGAAAGGCTTTTCATGACCACTCATTCTAAACTCAGTTTTGATTTTTATCAGCCTTCTTCAGGCACCTCCTATTTTCTCACCTATTTATATCCCTCCATTAGAATGTAAGCAATACAAACCTGGCTTTTAACCATCATGTGCAGTTTCAGCCCCAGCACTAATACTGGGCAAACTTGGAAGCTCTCAATGAATGTTTTTTTAAAGAAATGTATTCTATGCTATACTATGAATTTCTGTCCAGCAGTTAAAGACATATTTATATGCATTGTCATGGAAAGATCTAAGATTAATAGTTTTTTTTAAAGAGCAAACTGCATTATAATATGTAAAGAACGATTTTTTATTTAAAACACACATTATAAAAATCTTTCCTTGAGGATATTTATGGCAAGTTTGTAAGTTTCCCAAAGAAATTCCTTAAATGATAGCTTTATTATTGGAAAATAATTCACTTTGGGAAACAATGTAAACCATAATGTGTGCATAAGTGAAAAGAAACATCTAAAAGGATAGACATTAAACTGACAACACTGCTTACCCAGAAGTGACAGTGACTGAAGGAGAAAGGTCAGGAGAGACTGACTTCATCTGTAATGCTTGTGTTTTACAACACAAATGTAGTCATGCAATACTTTTGTAAAGAAAAATATTTAAAGATTAATACATTATAAAGAAAAAAACCAAATATTTATCAGTTTAAAACAGATTTTTAAGAGTTTAGATTAATATTACTTCAAACATGTCTCCCACAACAGTACCATTAATTATAAGCCCTTTCTCATGGCCTAGAACAGATGAATCTAAATACTTATTATTTGCCAATGAACATTATGAAGTATTATCATGACTACGTTAATTATAAAACAAATTGAAATTGTTAGGAAGGAGAAAACATTTATCTATGCTCTGTTGCGGGCCAAGAGCTGAGCTGGGTGTATTACAAACCTATTTAACCCTCACAACAAGCTTGAATGTTTGATATTATCACTGTCCACTTTAAAGTAAGAAAACTAATCTCAGAGAAATACTTTGCCCAAGATTATACAGCCAAGAAGCAGCAGAGCTGGAATTAAAGCCCTAGAATTAAAGATCTGACTCAAAAATCAGCTGACTTTCTATCAGGCAATTGGCTGCCACAAAATAATCGTATTCTCTTAACCACAAGTTAAGAGAATAGATTCAGGAGGCAAATGGATGAACATAAAGAAGTTATATTAAAAAGGTACAGAACACAGGGGACGGGAGATAGATAATCTAATCAATTAGCCTGCCTCCAACTACTGGAACCATTCAAGATACATAGATGTAATTTTGACTTAAAGTTCTGAAAAAATATTCCAAAAGCCATTCTGACAGCCTTCTGATATTTAACAACCATTAACTCTTCTTTAAATTCCATTTAATGCCTTTCTCTTACAATCTGAATATAGTTAAGCTGACCTGGCCTTTAGCAGGAAGAAGAGAAAAGTAATCCATTGTATACTTACACGCCTACCATTTATATAAAGATTGTTAAATTATCAAAAGTTAAACGCATTTACATCTGAAGTTTTATACCTTGTCACTTTTTAGTTTCTATTGAAAAATAAAGAAGTTTAAAAAAAAAAGATGAATTTAATACCAGTAGTAAAATCTACTTTAAAACTAAAATCTACTCTAAAATTAAAAACTCTACAATTGAAATCTTTGAAATATATTACAAAGTGAATGGCTGAAGTTCCATTACACTGACTACCAGTAAGGCTTAGAATCTGACTAAGAATAAGAGAAAGTTTCAGTTAATTTCTTTGATTTAGGTTTCTTCCACTTATAAGTCTCTACCACTGTAAACCCTTTATTTCCTTTAATAAAAATGGTGACATTGTTTTTAAAAATTTTTGTTATTAACAATAAAATTACATCCACGCAATCAGCTGAAGTTCTAAGGGAAAATGACAATGTTGAAGTAAGTTTTCCCATTATTATTATTATAACTTCCATGAGTGAGAAATTCAGCATATGTAAACTCCAAAGCCAATTCTGCAAGATATGTTTATAAATCATCTGTCCACAAAAAAAAGTCAGAGGACAGTGTATTTTATTGTATGAATATCAAATGTTTTATAATACTGATTTACTATGTTGTATGTATTCTATAAAATAAATACTATTTTAAAGTTTACACTGGAATTCGTAAGAGAAGTAATGCAAAGAATAGATGCTTGAAATACATCCAATAGGAAACTTATTCCCAATTTTATCATCCAATCCTTTTGGTGATGCTTCTAGTGTTATGGACAAACTTGATCTTCTTTGAAATGTGTTGTTCATTGATTTTCTGTTTCAGTCACAGTAGCTATAAATAGTTGTTTAAGAATATCCTTATCTAAATTCCTGCCTGCAAACAGAACAAAACATGGTATGAGTATATGATGCTTATTAAAATGACACAGTTTACCTATCAAGTCCAGATCATTAAATGCTTCATGATCTTCAGAAATGTATAAAAACAACAGTAATTAATGATTCCTTCCTTAACTTTCTAATTAAGTCCCTTAGAACCAAGTTGGCATTTGGATTAATCACTTTTCTGAAATTATTTGAAGAAGAGTAAAAGGCTTAACAAGTTCTTATGATGTTATCTCATAATTAAGACAAATACATTAACCACAAGCTTATTCAGATTTACAAAAGAGGTTCAGATTGGTTAGTACTGCTTACATAGCACATTATATCCCTTTCTCTCTCTCTCTCTCTCTCTCTCTCTTTTGCTTTAGAAATTTAACTGTTTATAAGGGAAAAGAATCTGAAAAAAATAGATATATATGTATGTATAACTAAATCACTTTGCTGTACACCTGAAAATAACACAACATTGTAAATCAACTATACTTCAATTTAAAAAAAAGTTAACTGTTTGTCACTTACCAATAAAGACCAGTCGATTTGTTCTCTCACTGTCATGTTCCCAGCTCACTGGTGTCTCCTCCAGATCATACAGCTCATGGACGCCCTGGACAATCACTTGTTGTGGTTTGTCTTTGATCGACACCAGCCCCTGCTCAGAGGAGAATGAGCAATCAGCCACAGTTTGAATTTAAAAGCAGAAATCGAGCATCAATGTTAATGGATTAATTACTCCCATTTCTTTTTAAAATACAAACTCATAAAGGAGATGCTGTTAAAATTATTTAATTCCAGTTATTTGTGCATTAAAGTGTTTCCTAAATCCTCCAATTTTTAAAAAAGGCTTCTGCACACATTTTTTTTTAAAAACAATCCCTATTTCTAATGCTAAAATTAATATATGTAATTAGGATGTTTATTCAGTGTTACCACAATGAAAACTGAAACAACCAAATGATAAAACATGTTATATCTCAAATTCTACCAATTATTCTACTTTTAAGGATTTTATACTTGTTTCACAGTTTTAGTGGGAAAATTTGAGAAGTTAAAGGATTTTGGTGATAATCTGTTTTTGAATGGGTTGTAATAAATGGAGTAGATAATGATGAAATAAAGGTAAAGAAAAACTATTATATTTATCTGAATAAAATTCATTTAACATTGCTTTGCAGAAATGAGGAACAAATTATCTGATGAACTGGCCTAGGGGATGAAATAATTTCTCTGAAATAATGTTTGTTATACATATTTATTATAAAAATAATATATATATTGAAAAATAGTAAGAGACAAACCACTGTCATTCCCACCACATAATTTTTGATGTATTCATGTATTTGGGGTACATGTTCTTCCAGTTTTCTTTTCTTGTGCAGAGTTTTGTTTTCTGCTTTTCAAATCTGAGTTTTAATATGTAACAACAAACTCCATGGAGAGAATTACCTAAGCATCAATTTTATACTTGTATAAAGACTTTGAAGTTGTCAGCTGTTATTAGAGTTAACAGTTTAAACATGTTGATTATTTTCAGACTAGTATAATACTTTGTAACAGCAAAGAGAAGGAGGTCTATGAAGAGAAAGGCTGTGGTGCCTCAGATGTCCCAGCGTTGCTGTGATGAGAGGAAGGCCAAAAGAAGAACCAAGGAGGACAGCTGCAGAACAACTGTCATACACGAAGGACAAAATCCAGACTGGGATGGTGCAAGATGAGCCACTGAACTCTATACAGAGGTCTCATTGCTGCATTAGTATAAACGCCCAAATGGTTGCTTTTCTAGGTAACCACCCCCCATTCAGTACTAGGGGATAAAAGCAGTTACAGAATGAAATATGATCTTCCAATTAGGATCACAGAATGTAGATGGGGACACAGTCATAAAGAAGCAGCAGGATCTGGCTTAGTTCCTCTGCGGGGGAACGACTGGGGAATAGATTCAGCTGTGCTGCTCTGCAGCACCAATCCCAGGTGGAACCAGCACAGGGAGTGAAGAAATCTAAACCAAAATAGTTTCCCGGTCACTCTAGTGGCCCTAGGAAGTCGGCTGCTAGCCAGAGAATCTAGCTACTAACAGTAATGATAATAAACAGTAATAATAAAACCTTATGCACACTTCTGGAAACACAGGAGTAGACACTCAAATGACTGTTGATTCGTTAAGCACACAGCCTAGAACCCACTGCTCCCTGGAAAAAACACCTTTTGTAACATAATACCCAAATATCAAGTAATATGAAGGGATTTCCAAACAGAGCAAGAATTCTTCTAGTCCTCTGTAACACTGTCTCACAGTATAACAAATGTTTAGTGTCTGCTAAATTCATCAAGAAACATAAGGTTCAGCTGCGGCAAGATTTCTAATATTACTCCTCTGTTAATGAAGCTCTCTTAGAAAAATCAACACAAGAAAACTTTCCGTTTTCTCTGACTAACCAAGCTGTGTGCCAAGGGGAGGAGAGTTTTAACAAGTCAAGCTCATTAGCTAGATAACCGCTCTGAGCACCTGGCAGTAGAGAGCAGGGGGTAAGGTTTCAAAGCACACAGGTTGTTTTAGCTGCAACACTCAATGAAGCTGTGCAAATAAATCATGCTTTATGCAATGACTTCCAAAGCTTCTTTTCAGAAATGGAAATAAGGAAAAACAGACAAAGGTTATTTGGACTAAAACTAGTCCTTGTGTTTAAGACTAAATATGGTTTTGTGTAACAGCAAAGAAAGGGACTTTGTCCAAAAGTATAAAGCTGTAAGCTATGTACTGCACCTTTAGTCGTATGACCTCCATGCAGTCGTCATCCCTGTTTCTCACATTCTTTTCCCACAGAAGATTCTGTATCAAGTGACATATTTTAATAAGATCAACCACTGCTCATAGGAACAACTACATAGCAAAACAATTGATAAATCATTAATCAGTTAAAATTGCATTCACCTGAATATAGACATTTAGACTTTCTTCCTTTGCATTTCCTGGTACTTCGAATGTGACTGTAATAATACTCTGTAAATCAAGAGATAGTCAATAATGATTTTTTTATAGTAATGTCAAAATATTTTTTTAAATCACAAGTTTTAAGATGAAAAGTAAGGAAACATTCATGGGCATCTGTGTTGCCTTAACAACTATATTAGGTATATCTTTTTCACTATATTTGCTCATTTTTGGTATCAGCAACTCCATGTTCTATATTCTGCAGAGTTAATCAATGGCTTAGTATTTACACAGAGAAACTCTTATGAAAGGATACTCATTGTTTAATTCATTCTTTACAAGATTCTCAGCACTAAGAGAGAGGGTAATATAGAGAGCGTATCAACTATGTACTGGACGAGGTACTTTTGCCTGGGTCACTTTATTTCATCTTTTCATTTACTCATGACAGCAATCCTGTGGATTAAAGAGAACTATTTCCATTTTATAAATTGGGGAAGATGAGGCTTAGAAAAAATAAACTACAAAATGCAAACATTTTCTGGGAAAAATAAATATAAGTTAAAAGATTCAGTTTCTCTCTGACCAAACATGTACCAAGGGAAGAAGAGTTCCTAGAGATGAGAATGATAATATAATGTCATCTTTGGTTTTAGAAGGTTGACATCAACATTTATAGAATGTTAACTCTGAGATTTATTTTTCCTCCTGAGCTTGATAAACCCCTCACTGTCCACTCTAAGGAATTTCCTCTAGCTGAGCACATAATTAAAATCCAAACCTCCGTTTGCCACAGTAACCCAAAATTTCAAAATTAATGATAAAAATACACAAGGGCTAAGCATAACACAATAAAAGCACAAACACCACCTTGGATAATAACATGCTGAAACCAAGCTTTAAAACAGGCAGGACGAACACACTAATGCACAGCTTTGCATAACTGTCCAGAACCACATATCTTAACAAATAATACTTAAAACTCCATACCAAAATGTATAGCAAGTCATATAGCATATCAAAATATACAGCAAAAGGTTGCCAAATGAAACATAATTTGTCAGTTTCAAAAGACAGTAGTAATTCAACTTTCAAAAATGCTTAAAATATTTTATTCAAGTTGGATAACTTGGCTTTTAACGTTGGGAATGTCTTAGTATAGGACTCAATATTGTCTTATTCTTAGCTTAAAGAATTTTGTATCAGGAATGATTTTTCCTTTTGGCAAGTTAGAGATATGACAATATCTCTAAGGGGTACAATTAACTGCAATGTGAAATTTTAAAAATGGTTTTAAAAATTAAGACAATGCATCCTGGGGCTCAAGGAGGGAGAGATACTTTTAGAACTAGATGTTTTTCTGTACCAATAAACTCTTCTCATATTAGACAAACCCTAAAGAAGACGAAACCCATAAATGCCCAGTGCAGAAGATAAGGGTCACAATGCATAGTTCACAACTGGCTCTACTAATAAGTATACATAGAATTCCACCTGGGTTTTCTCATCTACCTTACCACCTTCCAAACCCAGGTCCTCTTTATCAGGATGACCAAGAAAACCATGAAAAATAGAGAAATGCATTAAACATCACTCAGTGATAAAACTGTAATGACATACATGATATGTCCTAGGTATTACCCATTTCAGACTTCTTTTTGAACCTAAAAAATGTTTATTTTGAACCTAAAATTAACTCTCCTTTCCCCAGACACAGAAAGAAGCAGAAACCTGAGGCAATAATTCAGAAAACTGAAGCAAAATAAGGTACTGCCCCTAAAATAAAATTTAGGAATAACTCCCAAATTTTTGTAGTTTGGTGTGTTTTTTCTTTAACCTACCAGGTTATTTCCCTCAGTTTTCTACTCTTTTACAAACAATACCTAATATGCAATAATTTCTATATATTTTTTCATCTGGAAAACTAAGCCCACTAACATGCTTGAACACAAAACCTCTGTCACCACACTCCACTCCTCTGCTCCTCTTTCCCTGTATCACCTCTGCTGTGATATCCTGCCATCAGGTACATAGCTAAATATTTGGTGTTTTCATCCAAATCAGTTTACCTTCTAAATTTCCCTATTTCTAGGTTCCTCTTGTCTATCTAGGCTTGTTTCCCATCACTTCTCTCTCTCTTTACTGCTCACCATCAGTTACTTAGGCTATTCATGCAAACCTACCTGTGCTCGTTTTATACCATTTCCATTCTCACTGTAACCAGCATGGATCAGGCCCTAATCACAGGGTATCTGGACTTCTGCAATATCTTCCTGCTTGGTCTCCTGACTCCACACTCCAATCCAGCTCACCGGACACTGTCCAATAGCAGAGCATGAGTTCTCTTTGTCTGACAAATCAAAGCCTAATACCTTAGGTCAGGATTCCAATACCAAGCATTCACCAGGACTTCTGCACTAGAATACTGCTCTTCTAGAGCACTGTCACTTTCCCACTTTTAAAGATCTGGATTGCTCTTTCCCTTATTTCTTCCAGTCTAAAAAAACACAAAAAACAAAAAACCTCCTAGTTTAAGGCTACTTTTTAGTGTATAAATCAGAATAGCAGTTACATCTTTGGAAGAAGAAGGGTTACCAACTGGGAAGGGACACAAGGGAACTCTCTTAACTGTTTTGGAAATCTTTATCTTGATCTGAGTGAGAATTACAGAGATATGTGTTCATGTGTACATATGGACAGCTATATAGGCACAAATGTAAGTAAAGATACATTGACTTGTACTCTAAAACCCTGTATGCTTTATGTTAAAAAAAAAAAAGAAAAAAGAAAAAACTATCTTTCATGAAGCTTCAGATCCACTAAACCAAATGAGACTGTTCATGCTTCTGAAACCCATAGTCCTTGATCTGCAATATTATATTATACTCTGCCCTATGTTTATATATCTAAAGCAGGAAAGTGCATCAGAATCTCCTGCAGAGCTTTTTTAAAAAAAATAGACATGCCCTATTTACTGGTAAAATAACTTAATGTCTGGGATTTGCTTTAATACATACCAGCAAAGGTGATGGGTATTTGCAGGTTCATTATACTATTCCACTTTTATTTATGCTTGAAATTTTCCATTAAAAGTTTTTTTAAAACACTCCAGCAAAAGAAATGTTAGGAAGATGGATAAAATAAAATCGGCAAAATGGTAAAAGCCATTGCAACTGGGTCATCTGCACAGGGGATTGATTCATTTTAATATTCTCTCTACTTTTGTATATCTTTGAAAATTTCCATAATAAAATGTTAAAAATATACATACACATTAATTTGCACATACCCAAGGTCTACTCCTGGAGATGTGAGAGATGGGGACCACTGAATGTCCAATATTTTTTAAAAGCCTACAAGTGATTCTGACCTACATTCCCATGTGAGAATCACAGCTTTTCATTCTTCACTGAGCACCCACCATATACCACATCCTGTGCTAAGCAATGAGGAATGTATATTTAGGAATTTATAGACTACCATAAGGGAAAAGCACTTCAACCCAAACTACAAGACATTATAAATGCCACAACAGGGGTACATTCAAGATACTGTGGGTATAGATAATGGCCATGATAAAGGTTCTTGAAAGTAAATACTACATATTCTTCATCTTCTACTCCTATGACTCCTAGTATGATGTCCTTCACCTAGAAGAATGTGATGTGCTTCAACTTCTTCTTTATGACTAATACTGAGTATCATAAAGAATTTTTCTAAAAATTCTACCTCTAGGGACTTGTAACTTCTCTCATTCACTCATTTGAAAGATAAGTAAGATATACTGTGCTCACGGATTAGAAGAATTAATATTGTTAAAATGTCCATACCACCCAAAGCAATCTACAGATTCAATGCAATCCCTATCAAAATACCCTTGGCATTTTTTTTTACAAAACTAGAACAAATGATCCTAAAATTTGTATAGAACCAGAAAAGACCCAAAAAGCCAAAGCAATCTTGAGAAAAAACAAAGAGGGAGGTATCACATGCCTTGTTTTCAAACTATATTATAAAGCTATAGAAATCTAAACAGTATGGTACTGGCACATAAACAGACACACAGATCATTGAAATAGGATACAGAGCCCAGAAATAAACCCACACTCATATGGTCAATTAATCTATGACAAAGGAGGCAAGAATATACAATGAGGAAAAGACAGTCTCTTCACTTAATGGTACTAGGAAAACAGGACAGCTACATGGAAAAGAATGAAACTAGACCACTTTCTTAAACCGTATAAAAAATAAACTTGAAATGGATTAAAGACTTAAATGTAAGAACTGAAACCAAAAAACTCCTAGAAGAAAACAGAAGCACTACACTCTTTGACATAGGTCTTAGCAATATTTTCTTGGATCTGTTTCCTCAGATAAGAGCAACTAAAGCAAAAATAAACTACTGTGACTACATCAAACCAAAAAGCTTTTGCACAGCAAATGAAACCATCAGTAAAATGAAAAGGCAACCTACTGAATGGGAGAAGATATTTGCAACTGATTTGTCTAATACATGATTAATATCCAAAATATACAAAGAAATCACACAATTCAGTATCACAAAAAACCCAAACAATCTGATTAAAAAATGGGCAGAAGATATGAACAGACATTTTTCCAAGACATACAGATGGCCAACAGACACATGAAAAGATGCTCAATATCACTAAGCATCAGGGAAAAGCAAATCAACCACAATGAGATATGACCTCACACCTGTCAAAATGGCTATTCTCAAAAAGACAAAAAATAATAAGTGTTGGTGGAGATGTAGAGAAAAGGGAACTCTCATGCACTGTTGGTAGGAATGAAAATTGGTACAGCCACTATGGAAAACAATAATGAAGCTTCCTCAAAAAATTAAAAATAGGACTACCATACAATCCAACAATTCCACTTCTGGGTATTTATCCAAAGAAAATGAAAACACTAAATTGAAAATATATATGCCCCCCAATGTTCATTGAAGCATTATGTATTTACAATAGCCAAGATATGGAAACAACCTAAGTGTTCACCGACTGATGAATGCATAAAGAAGATGTGGTATATGTGTTGTGTGTGCATGTATGTGTGTGTGTGTGTGTATGTATACACACAATGGATTATTACTCAGCCATAAAAAGACTGAAATCTTGCCATTTGTGACAGTATGGATGGGCCTAGAAGTATTATGCTAAGTAAAATAAATCACACAGAGAAAGACAAATATCTTATGATTTCACTTATATGTAGAAACTAAAAAGCACAACAAACAAGCATACATAGCAAAACAGAAACAGACTCATAGATAACAGAGAACAAACTGGTAGTTACCAAAGGGAAGGGGCAGGGGGATAGGCAAAACAGGTGAAGGAGACTAAGAGATACAAAGTTCCAAACTGTAAAATAAATAAGTCACAGGGATGTAATGTACAGCAGAGGGAATATAGTCAATAATACTGAAGTAACTTTGTATGGTGACAGATGGTAACTAGACTTACATGGTGATCATTTCGTAATGTATAAAAATACTGAATCATTACGCTGTATACCTGAAACTAGTAATATCTTATTCTGTAATAACACTGTAGGTCAATTACACTTCAATAAAATAGATAAATGAAGATGAATATTCTATTAAAAGTTTTGCAGAGAAAAATGCCACAAACATGGTAGTATAGTTTCCATAAATATGAGCCAAAATGAAAACAAATGAACAAGTATGCTATTATCTTGGCCCTATTACAATCAATGACTCAAAAAATAAGTAACAGTCTCAAGATAAAGGAGAGAATGCCAGGCACACTGCTCACTCATATGCCCCTTTTTCACCGTGTTTTAAGAAGTTAACCTTTTTTTTTTCCTTTGATTCCATATATATGTGTTAGCATACGGTATTTGTTTTCCTCTTTCTTCTTTTTTTTTTGCGGTACGTGGGCCTCTCACTGTTGTGGCCTCTCCCATTGCGGAGCACAGGCTCCGGACGGACAGGCTCAGCGGCCATGGCTCACGGGACTAGCCGCTCCACAGCATGTGGGATATTCCCGGACCGGGGTACGAACCCGTGTCCCCTGCATCGGCAGGCAGACTCTCAACCACTGTACCACCAGGGAAGCCCTGTTTTCCTCTTTTTGACTTCCTTCACTCTGTATGACAGACTCTAGGTCCATCCACCTCACTACAAATAACTCAATTTCGTTTCTTTTTATGGCTGAGTAATATTCCATTGTGTATATATATGCCACAACTTCTTTATCCATTCATCTGTTGATGGACACTTAGGTTGCTTCCATGTCCTGGCTATTGTAAATAGAGCTGCAATGAACATTTTGGTACATGACTCTTTTTGAATTATGGTTTTCTCAGGGTATATACCCAGTAGTGGGATTGCTAGGTCGTGAAGAACCTAGGGGTAAGACGGGGATAAAGACACAGACCTACTAGAGCATGGACTTGAGGATACGGGGAGGGGGAAGGGTAAGCTGTGACAAAGTGAGAGAGTGGCATGGACATATATACACTACCAAACGTAAAACAGATAGCTAGTGGGAAGGAGCTGCATAGCACAGGGAGATCAGCTAGGTGGTTTGTGACCACCTAGAGGGGTGGGATAGGGAGGGTGGGAGGGAGGGAGACGCAAGAGGGAAGAGATATGGGAACATATGTATAACTGATTCACTTTGTTATAAAGCAGAAACTAACACACTATTGTAAAGCAATTATACTCCAATAAAGATGTTAAAAAAAAAAAAGTTACACTTAAGCTCCACCATCCACAACTTGCTTAAAAGAAAGATGGTTACAGTGAAAATATACTTTCTTTGTTCCCAGCATCTGCAATATCTACCTCAGGAATTATAGTTTTAGAGCATGAAAAACACCTTAAGGAGTTCAAATTTACAGTGCTACCTGAAGGTGAAATCAAAGTCAATTTTTATTTAAATTAGCCACGGATGCCCGTACTAGACTTTTCCTTAATCAGTTAGTTAAATATAGTTAAAAATAGGCTGCATAAAGAACCCCCAGGCTGCTTTTATATAGTAATTCCCTTCAGAAGAACTAATCAAAATATGTTGACTGACCTGTGGAATGGAGAAGCTAAAAAGCATGATTTTCTAAGATTCTAAATAACTCTGGTTTGATGAACTCCTATTACGTATTAAGAAACTAGATTAGATGACCTCAAAAGCATTTAAATTCTGAAAACTGTCAAAATAGTTCAAAAAAGAATTCTATTAAAACAATCCTAAACAGAACAATTTAGTTAAAGAGATACTTCAAAAACATTTTTTAAAGATTTTTTTACCTGATCAAGGTGAGGTTGTGTTGTTGGCACACTCTGAAGTTTTCTCTGCAAACTAATAATAACTGATTATAAATTCAGAGCTCAATACACTTCTGATTTAACCTTATATATTACTGAGAGATACAAAGCTAAACAAGGGAGAGACTTTCCACAACTGAATCTATTACACAGCTCTAATTTTACATGCTGTTTACATATTCTAATAGACAAACACTGGCAGACTGTTTAAAAACTTTTCTTAAAAATGTATATACATTTACATACATATATATACACATAATAGAGATAAAAACTAACCTTTAGCAACACTATTTGGTGTGGTTAAATATGTTAAATAAATTTCTTTTTTATTTCCAAAAGATCTAATACAGGCCTAGGAAAATATACATAAGCATTTTACAATTGCTCAAAATTTCATCAACTCTCCACATGCTTCCTCAGATGAAAATAATGCTGAACCTAAAGAAAATTAGAAGGGTAAATTTTTCCTTTATCAATGTTTTCCCTTGAATATACCTACTTAAAAAAAAAACAAAAAAACAGTATCCGTAAATGTAAGCCTTCTATACAGTCAGTTACCAGTAGTTGAGAGAAAACAAAAGGTCAGAATCCTAAAAATGCATTGTTCTGATATGGAAAAAGCAAAAGATCAATATGCCATAGATTATAACTATAACAACTGCAGCATACCTTTAGAGACTGATGGGGGTAGGTCGGGAGGAGGAAAAGGACTTAAAACCTTGCAGATATTTTGCCTTGAAGAACAGTGAGGGGTAAATTAGTAACAGCAAGTTTAGGAAAGAGAAAAGGCTTGTAGGAACTGTTGGAGGGAATGAGTCTCCTTGGGGGGTCTTAATAGGGAAAGTGTCAAATTAAATCCTTCCCAGCTGGTTGCTCAGGAAAGGATTCTCTTGTTGAGCATCTAAGCACAAAGAAAAGTTATGCAGAGGCGTTATCCAGAACAAGGCTTCACCTTAAACAGCTGCTTCTTTAAGTGTCACTAACGCACTAAGTGTGGAACGAAATGACCTTAGAAAATGTTTGAAAAATTCTATGTTCTTTCCCTGTGTTCAATATTTAATGTTGGACAGTGACTGCCTACAACTTCCACAGGGAAGGAAAAAGTTTTCCTCTACCTCTTGAGTCCCTGGCTGGGTCTGAAAATTAGACTGATGAAGATTAACAACAGAAAAGCATGTACATTTATTTAATAAAGGTTTTATTTGACAAAGGAACCTTCATAGGGAAATGAAGACCTGAAGAAATGGTTAAACCTGAGTGTTTTTGTGCTAGGTTTGATGAAGAGTGAAAAGCCACAGAAAGATATGACAGGACAGAGGATGAGCCAAGTGTAGTAAACTAGGGGAAACTCAGAGGCCTATGCCTTCAGATTCCTCGTGTCTCCCTTTGTCTTCAGAGATAGGATGCTCTTTTCCTCTGGGTGGAGAGAGGTTACCTTTCACATAAGGGTGTTATGACTCATCTTACTTCAGAGGAAATGGGAGAACATATTTGCAAATCATGTATCTGATGAGGGGTTAATACCTAGATTATTTAAGAACACCTACAATTCAGCCACAACAACAAAAAAAAACAAATAATCCAACTAAAATATGGGGAAAGTACTTGAACAGACATTTCTCCAAAGATAATATACAAATGGCCAACAAGTAAAAGTTAGAGAAATGCAAATCAAAACCACAGTGAGCTATCACCTCACATCCATTGGGACAGCTACTACCAAAAACAACAGAAAATGGCAAGGATGTGGAAAAACTGGAACACTTGTGCACTGTTTGTGGGAATGTAAAATGGTGCAGCTGCTATGGAAAACAATATGGTGATTCCTCAAAATATTAAAAACAGAATTACCATATGATCCAGCAATCTCACTTCTGGGCATATATCCAGAAGAATTTAAAGCAGGATCTTGAAGAGAGATTTGCACACCCAACCCATGTTCATAGCAGAATTATTCACAATAGTCAAGAGGAAGAAGCAACCTAATGTCCATCAATGAATAAATGGATAAAGAAAAAATGGTATATACATAAAATGGAATATTATTTAGCCTTTAAAAAGACAATGTTGTCACATGCTACAAAATGGATGAAACTTGAGAACTATGTGAAATAAGCCAGTCATGATAAGACCAATAATGTATGATTTCACTTATTTGAGGTACCTAAAGTAGTCAAATTCTTAGAAACATAACAGAATGGTGGTTCCCAGGGGCTGCAGGGAGGGGAACACCAGGAGTTGTGATCCGACTGGTATAGGGTTTCAGTTTTGCAAGATGAGAAAGTTCTGTAGATCCACTGCAAACAATGTGAATATACTTAACACTACTGAACTGTACACTTAAAAATGGGTAAGGATGATTAAAAAAAGATATCAATGTCCAGGGAAAAACCATTTGTTCTTCTTTCCCTATCAAAAGGATTCTCTCTGGGGAAAGAGGCAGGAAACTGATCCATCACTACGGGAAAGGGAGTATCTGTGGGAACACGCCAAACTAAAATTTTCTATGTATTTCATACATTTTCTCATGGAAAGAATTACACATAGTGGTTGGTAAAGAAATATTAACAATAAGTTTCTAAAGTTAACTACCATTTACACTATAATTTCTGTAGGAGAATACACGTGATTTCCGAACATACATTTAGCAAAACTTTCAAGAATGTAATCATTAGGAATGGTCGTGTATGCCAAAGAAATGACAGGAAGCATAAATCAAATGTGCATCTGTGTAAATCATTCCTGTAACTCCTATAACTGTGAAATAAAAAGTACATTATAATAAAAGTGACCAAAATACAGGAAACATACCTTATTCCAGAGAGACTGTCAAAGGCATGAAGATCTAATATACTTGAGAGATCAACTCTATAAGAAAGAAAACCATTTTGAAGTGTTAATTTCTGTAAAATATATTCAATTAATCAAAAAAAATCTCTATTCTGCTAGAAATGCAAACATAAATGTTAATCAGTATATACTATTTTGGGAAAAATAAAATGACAGGCAAGGAACAAAAAGCTGTTGTAAAAAAATTTTTATGGAATTTATAAAATTTTAAAAATTGAATAAATGGTTTAAGACCAAGGCAGAAAATTCCTTGGTTATTGCTTCAATAAATTGTAGTGGTTTTTTTGGTTTGTTTTTACCTTCAATTATCTTTTCAATCCTGAAAATTTGAGCTTTTCAAACTATATTTTTATAGCCAAAAAAAAAATCAGTTAAAGAACTGAAAATTTTCAAAAGTAGCAGTTTATTACTCAAAAGATGAAATGAGGGAAATCGAACAAATGGAAATAACACAGTAGTATAGGTACATTGGAATTTCTGTATTTCTTTTACTCCACCTCCCTGCTTTCATGATACAACAGGTAGTATCATAAGAATATGAGGAGTCAAACAATCAATGTATAAATATTCACTCTAGGACCCTTATCTACATCTAAAGAATGTGGTTTGATTTTATTTCCTTCAGATGGGGTTGCATATAGACTGAAACTTCCCAGTTAGTGCTCTGTCTGAATAAACATTATTTCTATTATAATTATTTGGTGGTAATTAAGCCTAATTTATTAGGAAAGCAGAGATTAAAAATCAGAAGAGATTATATCACAATTAGCATTAGGTTTGGTTTAAATACATAAAAGTAAGTTTATAAAGACTAGTGATTTGAGTTCCAAATTTTACGTCAGCCTATGAAACAGTAAAGGACAGTGATTTCTCCATAATCAAAGCTATAATGAAGGAATGTTTGAAGAAAATGACAACTATAATTAAGTCTCAAAATCATACTCCAGGGATTTGCCAAACATTTATTAAATTTTCTCACAAGGAAAACAAAACTTTGCAAATTCAAAACTTTTTCAAATACAAAAACGTGTAAAAGCCATCCTCTTTAACTTAGTTAGGGCTGACCAGCTGTGTCTGCTTTGTTCATTCTCAACAGGCTGCCATATATTCATACTTATGGCAACGATACTGTTAGATTGTGAACACCTCTCCTGGCACAAGGCAGACAAATTCCCATCTTATTAAAAGAAGAGTACTCCAGAGTTCTATATTAACAGACTGTAACATTTCAAATTCTGGACATTCTAGATGAACAGAATTAGGAAAATAATCAAGCAAAGAAGTAAATGTTCCATAAGAAATTTTTGAATATCAATTTACATAAGAAACCAAAGCCTTAACATTAAACCTATTTCCTTTCACACCATCACAGTTGAGCAAATATTTATACTGACAGGTGCCAAGTGGATGAAGTTTTCCACCAAGTTTATCACCTTTAACTTAGGAAATAGCTTAAAGTTTAAAAAGTTTACACATGCTAATTGTGTAAATATCAAAATTCAGGTCAACTGTGTGAATACCAAAAGTCAGTTTGAAACACAAGTTTCTAAATACACTACAGTTTTCACTGCAACAGTGTCCTTGAGAATACATATCATAGATTTAGAAATAATTCTGCTCTGTACCCAGATTCTTTTGATATTTTCAAAACAGATAGGATCAACAAAAGACCTATACAGGTTAAATTCTACAGAGAATAATAAAATATCAAAGTCTCTCACTGTATCTCACCAGATTCTCAATGGAGAATAAAAGAGGAAAAAGTCTAAGGTTCCAGATGAAAGTTGCCGTGGACTTTAGTACCACCATCAAAAGTAAATTCCTTCACTCATCCAAGGCATATAACTAGAAAACTAATTTTCATGGCATCAAATTTTATTTAACTTCCCCCTTCAGAGATAAAAACATCAGATCTTTTCCAAAACATTAACACAGAAAAAATAAATAGACTATTACCATCATGTAAAAACTGAATGGGAGAATGAAGCAAACAGAGGGGAAGGAAAAAAGTTCCAAAGCTCATCTTTTCTCCTAATTTCTTGAACTATCCATGCCAGGAGTATCTAATCTTTTCTCTATGAGGAGCTTTCAATTATCTGTATGTCTAAAGACTGCTTTAAGTCGCTTAAGACCAAGGACAGGAGAATGAAAAAGGAAGAGGGCTCTGGCTGTCTCAGGGGAGGGGAGTTCAGCTACTACTCCAGAGATATAGTCGTCTTTTCAAAGTTCAGTGAGTCTCAGAAACAGGGGCCACCAGACCTACGAGTTGTTGACACCATCCAATAGTAAGTCTTGAACTGTAGAGCTAAATTTCCAAATGCCCTCCCTAGTGGCATCTCAAACTCAATGTTTACAAAACGGAACTAATCCCCTTTACCAAACCCACTGCTATCACTACCCTACCCCAAAGTTGCCCCTCCTTCCTGTATTTCCTAACTTGGAGAATAGCACCACATTCAATCCACCTCCCAAGAGTCATACTGCTTTTTTTTTTTTTTTTTTTGGTACGCGGGCCTCTCACTGTTGTGGCCTCTCCCATTGCGGAGCACAGGCTCCGGATGCGCAGGCTCAGCAGCCATGGCTCACGGGCCCAGCCGTTCCAAGGCATGTGGGATCATCCCGGACCAGGGCACGAACCCGTGTCCCCTGCATCGGCAGGCGGACTCTCAACCACTGCGCCACCAGGGAAGCCCTCATACTGCTTTTAAAATCCTTCATTAATTCCTTGCTGCCTACAGGAGAAAATCTAAACCATGTGTCATGGTGTTCAAGACCCTTTGTGGTAATTTCTCCATCTCCACAGTCATACCTCTTTTTCTCTCCACAATATAACACAATGTGTTCTAGCCATTCTAAAACATTCACAGGTTCTGGAATACAAAATCTTCCTTATGTCAAGAAAGCCACTGCTACTCTTGTCTATCTGGAAAACTCTTATTCATTCTTCAAGATTCAAGTCAATGATAACCTTACCAGTCAAAATATTCTGACTCTTCATCAAGAAGAGTTGAATAGTTGTTCCTCTATCTTCCTGATCTTATAGGATCCTGTGCATTTAATGTTACTGTTATATTGATAATATTTAATATATTGATTTTTGCTTGTTTTCTTGCCTCTCCCAAATGAGTAATTTTAAAGGCAGAGTTTTTACCTTATACATTGCTTAAATCCTCAACATTCCATGAAATGCCTAGCAACTAATAGAATGATCAGTAAACTGTTGAATTGATTAACTTATTATTGATCAACTGGACTTTGGTTTTCCTCTATCCAGTCCACTTAATCTCCAAGATTTAAAAAAAAAGTCTGGAAAAGATAAGAATGGCACTTCTTCTAATCTTCCACTCCTGAAGTCCATCAGAACTTCCATTTGCCTCAAAATCAACTTAAGTCTCACCAATGAGACCATACTATGCCATTCTTATTTCTTAACTTAAATACTCAAGGTAAGCCTTTTCTACACGTTTATAGCAGTTTTATGACTGTCATTTTACTATTGTAAGCGTTTGCCAAACACAAGATGCTTAAGAGATTAAAATTTTTTTAAGAAAGAAAATTAAAATTTTTTCTTTATTTAAGAAAGCTCCTAGATTCTCAGATGTACTGGCAAAAAAAACTGATTTACAATATTTGTAAATACAAACTGAACAAATGCTATTACAACAAAACCACAGCTATTTATGGGTATGATTTTTAAAAACTTAATTAAGCATTATGTGGTTGTCTTTGTGTCATTTTGTAAAAAGCAGAAAATTTAAGAAGAAAGAAAATGGTAACGCAACAGGAAGAAGACAGATACCAAGGAATGGCTCATGGTATGAGTTAGGTTATCACAGACCTTCTACACTGGAATTTGAAAAGAAGGGAGCACATGTGGTATATGTTTATAGAGGACTTAACACTAAGGCATTCTTCTGCTACCTCTACCAGCAGAGTGGCTTCTGAGAATGCATGCCAAATTAATTCCCCAGCTGTTCACATGCATATAAGCAGCTGCTGCTGTTACTGCCTAACATTATGGTAGTCTGTCAGCACCTCTAATCTCTACCATGGCAAGACAAGCCACTCAACTAAGGCCTTTGCTGTACTTCCGAGGACAGAATCTCTGAATTGAGAACTGGGTGGCACTACACTGCCAGCTGTGAGCCTCAGAGCTTCTAGCTGCATGTTGCTGGGTCTATCAGCTGCTAAGCCATTCTTGCTAAAAAATAAGGTTAATAAAAATACCTCTGTACAGAAATTTTCTGAAATCATGATAGCACTCAATGCAAAATAGAGTTCAATCTACAGAAATTCATTTTACAGATGTTTTAAGAACACATCTGTTTTATAAAGTAAGGCACATCTGTACGAACAAAATTAAAAAGAGAGAAGAACCTATAGGAAATCAAAATCAAAATATTTAAAAAGAATGCATCAGGAACTTAAATGTAAAGGTTCCATGTATTTTTACATGACATTATTTTTGCAACTATTAAACACTCAAAAAGTTTTTAAAATATTAAAAAGCCATCTAAATATCTCAAATTAAGATAAGATTCCTAATAGTATACTTTTTCAGATTTCTATATTAATTACTTCCTTGAGTGGTTCAAAATCCTATGTTTTCTTCCTCATTAAAGCAAAAGCACAGTTACAGTGTAATCATGGCTCTGAGGTCTTAGTTACAAGACCTCAGTTACAATATATTAACTAACTGTGCCAAACTAATTTATAAAGAGCATTCAAAACAACCTTTTGGGCCTAATTTTTTTTAAATGCACATGTATCTTCCTTATATTAGAATCAAACATAGTTATCGATTACTTAATATTTATTAACTAAAATTATTTATTGTTAATATTAGTAACAGCTTTTAAAATTACCTTGATTTTTGTGTTTCTAAAATTTTTCCCAGTCCATTTGTTGATCTGAAATAAATATAAAAATGAGGAAAGTAAAAAAATGTTAACTTTTTAAAAAACCATTCTATCACATTATTTCTAAAACATGAAGTAAGCATATACAAATATATCCTAAAGCTAGAGAACAATAAAAAACAAACTTACATTTTTCATAGTTTAGTTTTTCCTTCTAATCATAAATCAGGTACATTCCACTTATGCATTAAAACATGATATGCAAAAACCTACTGCACAACTGAAAGATTGGGGGCTACTTTGTGATTTATATAAAGACCCTTCACTTTAGAAAAAATGATTTATAAAAGGCCAGTAATTCTAATATTCTTAAAATGAGTAGATAAACTTTTAACTGACACCTAATTGTCCTCAACACACACTGTGGAAATGGCTATACACACACTAGATATAAAAACCTAGTTACGAGTGGCTTTGACCCCAGCCTGTCCTCAGTATTCAGCCATACATCCAGTTTTGTTTTGTTTTGTTTTGTTTTGTTTTGTTTCTGCGGTACGCGGGCCTCTCACTGTTGTGGCCTCTCCCGTTGCGGAGCACAGCCTCCGGACGCGCAGGCTCAGCAGCCATGGCTCACAGGCCTAGCCGCTCCATGGCATGTGGGATCTTCCCGGACCAGGGCACGAACCCGTGTCCCCTGCATCGGCAGGTGGACTCAACAACTGCGACACCAGGGAAGCCCCACATCCAGTTTTTTAATAGAATACCTCTTCAGTTCTCTAGCTAGGATCTCTACCTACTCTGCCAGGCCTCCCCTTTCTGATACAAAGATAATGAAATACGGCTCCCTTTTGTATGGCGCCAAAAATACTTATTAAATCCTTTGCAGTAAACTGTACACCTCATCTATTTATATCATCAGTTCCATTGCCTTTAGGGTTACTTGATGAAGATATGTGCTATTTGTTCAAGCTTGTTCTCATGGGTAAGGCTTCCCAATGATTCTGAGGCAAGTCTCTCTATTAATTCACAAAACTCTTAATCTTCTCTTTTGAATATACTCTATAACCTGAAGGCTATTTCCTCTCAAACATGTTTATCTTCTTCCAACTCTTCAAATCTAATTCTGAGTAAGTCGCAAGTCTGAGGTACAATGGAGGGTAAAAAGCCCAAAGGGTCTGTAATTTATCAAAGTGCTTTGTCAAATTCTTTTCTGGTATTGCTATACAGTACAGGCTGGCAACAAGCTGGCTAATGTCAATACTGCTCGTGTTGGAGATCCAGCTTACATAGTCAGTATGGGGATAGAAGTGCCCAGTAGTAACAATTTCTCTTTTTATGCCAAAAATGTTTGTGACATAGATTATGTTCCCCGTTCGACATAGATTATGTTCCCCATTCTACAATCACAATGATGCATAGGATTTTGAAAAGAGAAACAAAATTTAGGAGACCAGTGTCAAAAGGGGTAAAAGAAATAATCTCCATTCACCACTTTCATCTTTCTAGACTTTTCAAAAATATCAACCATCTTTCTATTTCTTTCATTTTTTTATTCACTGTAATGGAAATTACTATGTAAACTAAGAAAAAAATCTACAATCTAATAATGATAATAATAGCTAACAGAGCACTTACTATGTATCAGGCACTGTGTGAAGCTTACCAACAATGCCTCAAACCAAATGCAGATTCCAAAGTCCATGATTTTAAACATTATTCAATACTACACAGCACTACCTACCCTCCACATGGAGACATTCTTACAGCTTTTTATAGTAAAATCTAAGAGGATATTACTACTAAAATAAGCCAAATAAGAAGAAAAATATGAATTCTTTCTTCTGCAATCATTAACCACTGCAGCCAAAATCCTAATGAGCTTTACCTTTACTGATTCAATTCATAACATATATTATATGAACTGGCACTGACAAACTCAAAATCTGATGTCAGCAGATTGTACGCACTGAAGATGACCAATAATAAAAGCTATCAAACGTTTCTCTGTAGATGGCTTTTATCAGTTTAGGTCTTACAAAATAATTAAAAGTCCCTGAACTCTAACCTCATTTGAAAAGTCCAAATGACTGTTGGATCTTTTAACACATATCTGAGTACCATTCATATTGTCCTATGTTGATCAGCCTTGGCCACGGACACTGAAGACATTAAAGCTAGCTGGAAAACAGGCATGGTTAGATGACAGTTAAGGGAGACCAAAGTCAATGAGGGTTCAGGGAAAAGTGAAAGCACCTGAGACAGGGAAGACTTCGCAGGAAGGAGGGAGAAAGAGGTGGGAGGAAGGGATAAGTTCCAGAGAATGGCTAAAATACCTTAAAAAAATAAAAGAAAAACAGAGAAAAAGAAGGAATTCAAGGACTGACAGAGTGAGAGTTGAGAATACATTAAGAGTAAAGAAAGGATTTGGTAAGATACCTCCATGAGAAAATAAGTAAACCGTCCTGGGTAAAGTTAGGGCACTTCATGTAGGGAAGGAGTCAAAGAGAAGACAGGAAAATGAGGAGGGAGTCAGAAGACCCTGAATACCAGTCATGAACTTTGAACTGTAGTTGACCATGGAACAACTTAGGGGTTAGAGGCACCAAGCCCCCTCACCATCGAAAATCCTCATACTGCTATCTCTGCCTCAAAAACAAAGGAATTGATAAATGACTTACCCAAGGGCAAGAAGCTGAAAGGGTCTGAACAGAATCAGGACTCAAACCCTAGTTCTTTTAATTCCACATATTATGATCTCTAATTGAACACAAACTTTTCCCCATACTTAGTTAACTTAAAGATCTGTACAATGAAAACACGGATACTATGTTTATTGGAAAAAAATGCACGTATAAGTGGACCTGGGCAGTTCAAACCCTGTGTTGATCAAGGTTCAACTGTATATTCTGTAAGCAATGGGGAACAATTTTATATACCACTATTTACATAACAGCCAATTAGGCAACAACAAAATATGTGATTCCCTAATGATACCTGAAGCAAGTCAACCTTGAACCTTAAATTTCTACAGGGCAATAGTCATGGTAAAAATATTCCGTACAGCACATTTTGAATTTGTAGGTACTTAACAAACATTTCTAATTTTGTACCTAACAGTTGTTCTTAATTTGTTTAAATCCTCTTCTGAAACCAAGTCTGTTTTATTGAGGATGATGATATCCGCCAAAGCAACTTGCCTAAAGTAGCAAACAAATAACAGATGTCAAGAGAAATGTTAAGAAATTAAAAATAAATAAGAAACAGCTCCTCAAGATCAATTAGCAGCTAAGAAGGATATAGTACTCTATGTAATGATTTAATTTACTCCTAAACTATTTATCATCCTTCAACTAGTAAGGATGAATTGTATTCATCACTATATAAACTCAGATTTCAAATTATTCATTCAAAAAATATTTACTAAGTTCTCTTACTTGCTACTCTGAAACTACAAAGATAAGCCTCAAAAAGTTTACAATCAAGGATAGTTTACAATTAGGATGATTTTCAACTCATGATTTTCTTTGTAAAACAAATGCATAAAATTCCGATATCCAATGTGGTACGAACAAAGACACTCTACTTATTAAAATATTCCACGTAATAATTACCATAATTTTCAAAGAAATACAAAGAACAAGTTCACTTAACATTAATACTACATTGAACAGTTTTTTAAAAAAAACTACACTTGAATCTTGAACAATTATCTTCATCACTACGAATATTTATTTTCTCTGTAAAACAGATAAACTACAGAAATTCAAGTTAAAGAATCCAGTTGACACGATGCTGGATAACAAAATAGCTTACTATAATTAGAAACTCTATTTTCTATTAACAGGAGTAGTAAAGCTGAGGATTCTTTAAAATTTCCTCAATTCTTCAGGAAAGTTTAATAACTAGACTATTTGTTCCCAATACTGGTTTTATGCTACCTGAAGGTATAGCTAATTATTTCAAAGAACAACCAAATTCTCAAAAATAAATCAACTTCAGTTCACTGAAAAGTGGGTTTCAACAGTATGTACATCACAATCCCATTTTTATTCAAGTAAATTTCATAAGAATAAAGATTGAATGTGCACATCTCAAAATATAGACAGTTGCAATCTTCAAATTGGAGGGCTCCTATATTTAACTTTTTTTTGGCTTTTATAATATTTTGCTCTTTTCTATTTGGCTTATATTTTCTATAACAAACATATTTTAATAAGGAAAAAGTTACAAAAATATTTAAGTTCAGTCTAATGTGAATCATAGCTAAATAACAAATGAAGTGTTCAGGCAGGATTACAAAACAACAGAGTACCATATTCTAAAATGATAGGGAATCAGTCACCTCCTTGCAGTCTATTATTTATGTCAAGATCATCTGTAGCAAATCTTGGAGTGGAGGGAGACCTCCCTTTTAAACCCAAGAGCGTATTTAGTGACTGTTGTCTATCCCAAAACTCTTTTCCCATTAGCAAGAATATGCTTAGGGTAGGCAACCCAATTTAAATATTCATAAGTCTAAAGAGAACCCAATTAGGAACATACAGGTATTTAAACAAAAAATGTTCTAAATGCCAAATTGCAACTATTTCCATATTTATTCCTCTGTTGCTCTGAGTAACATTGAACAGTTGAATCAACTGAATTACTGTTAAAGAAGACAGGAAGTGAATCAACTCTTTTTTTTTTTTTTTTTTTTTTTTGCGGTACGTGGGTCTCTCACTGCTGTGGCCCGGACCGGGGCACGAACCTGCATCCCCTGCATCGGCAGGCGGACTCTCAACCACTGCGCCACCAGGGAAGCCCTCAACTCTTTTTTAATAATCATTTTCAATCCCAAAGAAATTGTATGAGAACAAGAAAATATTTTTAAACGTGAACATCTTCCAAGTTCCTCACAAAAAACTCCTGTGCTCAGCACTCACTTTATGCTATAATATAGTTTTAAATAGAGAAAAGATCTTCCTTGACTATGTTTTTATGTTTCTCAGCTTTTGTTTTTCATATCAATCATTTTCTTTTTCCATTTAGCCAGTAATCAATATATACTTTAAATAAATGAATACCTAGAAGCTTCATTGATAAGGCCATCAGGTTTTTCTTCTGCTAAATGCTAAATAAAAACAAAGTTTGAACAAAAGTTACTGTGGTGTAACACATAACCTAATGTCAACACAAAGGATTTTACTTTAGGGACTCCTTGCTTGCCTCTAATAAAAACTTCAACAAGTTCTATTACTGAATACCCAAATTCAGGACTAACTTTTCTATCTGAACGCATTTTCCTCCTCATTTGTAATTTTTTCCCTACAGTGAACCTGTGAGGTGTGAGGGCTTAAACTTTGTCCCCTGACCTCTTTTTTTCGTAAATGGAAAACCCTCCAGATTTAAATAATGTCATAAAAACACAGCACATTATAGTTCAGATTCTAGGCAATTTCCTTTTTACAAAACTGTCTTTGTTCTAAATATTTATTATTACTTATTTAAAAAAAAGAAATAACCACTGAAATCGTACTTTTAAAAAGTCTACTAGACTTTCCTTCATCCTACCCCACCTCCCAGCCCCCACCGCAGAACCATACACACTATGAACTCATACTTGGCCCTTCCAATTCCCTAGGAACAAATTAGCTGTGGGAAGGACACAGCCCTATACCCAGCATAAAGCAGGTTATCATTCTGAAACCCACACTTGAATGATTTGGCCTCTCTGGGCAACTGTTTAGTTTGCACCCTGCCAGAGTCAAGCTAGTGCCAAAAAATACTTTGATGTTGGCTTAGAAGCCCACGAGGTCATTTTGATCTCTCTGGAAGTAGTTATTATTTTTCCATAATCTTATTTATATCCCTAAAGTCACCAGTGTCATAAGGTTCTTCTCTGAAAAATGTTCCACCTTCATTACCTTAACCCTCAATAGATGTTTCCTGTCACAATAAAAAGCTGCCTACTGATGTCAGAGGCAATTTGATTATATAATACTTTTTGTATTTGAATTGAACTCCACAAATTATTAAATCCTTTTACAAACATCTCATTTAGCCTTCATAACGATTATGGGAAATGGCTATTCTCAATTTATAAAAAAGAAGCTAAATCTAACACTGTCACCATCATGGGATACCTTACCATAGGGTGATTTTTCAAAAATGAAAATGGCCTCAACAGAAGGAAAATGAATATAATTTTTAAATCTTTGTGAAAGCTTTTTTTTTTTTTTTGGCAGTACGTGGGTCTCTCACTGTTGTGGCCTCTCCCATTGCAGAGCACAGGCTCCGGACACGCAGGCTCAGCAGCCATGGCTCAGGGACCCCGCCACTCTGCGGCATGTGGGATCTTCCCGGACCAGGGCATGAACCCGTGTCCCCTGCATCGGCAGGCGGACTCTCAACCACTGCGCCACCAGGGAAGCCCTGAGAGCTGTTTATGTCATATAAAATCAGTCTTGCAAACAGCGTTACACAAATGTTAATAACTGCATAAAAGTATATGTATAAAGATTACCTAAAAGTTATATTCAAAATTATTTCATCAAATCAGTTTTACAATTCATGAAGAGGTAGATCATTAAGGTATTTGGATAGTTTGGGACCTAAGAGCAAGTTGGTAATCATTTTATTTAATAGTCTTGGTAAAATCCATAGAGAAAACCTTTTTTCTTCTAAAAGTTTGCCAAATTTTATTTTTGGGGAAGCTAGCCTAAACTAAAACTAGAGTAATGATGTACTGATCTCCACTTTAGGTACAACCTTATAAATTCAACTGCAGACCCACTCTGAAATTATGAAAATCACAGAACTTGAAGAATATTGTATTAAAAATTGTTTCTTATCAAAAGACCAAGTTTACTATTTTTGCTAATTACTGTTGGCCTGAGGCTATAACAAATCCTTTCATTATGTCCTCTAGAGAATAAGGGCTATTACCATCCCAGGAATAGTACCTGGCACCCAGGTTCAACAAATACTTATTGAATGAATTCTAGTTAACACCTCCTATTTGTTGACATAGATACATGGATGTTGTTATCTGAAAAGTTCTACATAATGTGCAGCAACAACTCCCTTTCTTTTCAGCAGTAAATCTGTTTAGTAAAGATGTATTTTTAGCAAGGTATCTGTCTCTGAATGATCCTATAATATGGAAGTTCTTTTAAATTTTTGAAATATTTGCAAAATATTGTATTTTTGACCTTTTGGAAGATTTATTTATATATGAATTTGGGACTTTTTGGCTGTGAGCTGGAGGTGTATAAAAAGATATGGTAAGAAAATTAGAGATTTGTTTTTGAATATCCATACCTAAATGTAACTAATAAAATAGTATTAATATTTCACAAAGTAACTCATGTTTTTAATGCATCTAATCTAATCTCCAGAAGATTAGAAATTTTCACTCAAAGCTAACGGGGATGGACTAACATTTCATGACCTCTAGGAAGTCAAGAAGTATCAAATATAAAAACACGTTAAAAGTCCCCATAATAAAAACCTGCCAATAGGTACAACTCTATTAAGAATATGATATGTAATAAACATATAAAAAAGCAGAAGAGATAAATGTCCCTCGTTCTATGCACATATGAAGGCTATACAAACATAAACAAATAATAAATGCACACTAACATTTATTTTCTCTGGATATCAGCCCATTTCCCTCATGCAACTTCTTACCTTCCCAAATCAAACTTTGCAAAAAGACTAAAACCAATGTCTGCTATTCAAAAGGACATTCTCCAGCAGCACATTATACACCATTAGTCATTAAGTCAGATGACTCCCATTTACAAAGTGAAAAAATGGAAATTGTGACATTCTATTTTACCTGTACAGGCAATGAAGGAAAAATTTTTGCAAAATTTTTTTCAAAATTGTGTGTGTGTGTGTGTGTGTGTGCGCGCGTGTGTGTGTCTGTGTGTGTATGCGTATATCCCCAACGGATTCCTCATCTCTGCTTAGAGACTGTGGCTTTTGCTTATACATCAAAAAACAGACCAGAAAAATTTTGGTACTAATTAATCCAACGTATCAAAAAGCTTAAGGTTCCACCCTCT